AAAAACCAAACCGCATAAAAACCGAACGGTGCGGTTTCTAAACTTTAAAAAACCGAAGTTGCGGTTTTCGGTTCGGTTTTAGGCAAAAACCGCACCGAACCGCACCATGCTCACCCCTAGAAAACATTACTTCGACTCGCAACGAGTTGAAGTTTTTGGCTCACAATTCACATGCAGGTTGAGGAATACAAAATTGATTTTTTATTTATTTTATTTATTTTTAATAAAATTTTCTGGTATAAATACTTTCTTTTACCATTTGAAAACCATATATTTCTTTCTTTCAGTTTTACTCTATAATCTCTATATTCCAATTCAAAATTTTGGAAATAGATGTTTCCTAAGCCATTTGTAGTTGTATTCACAGAATAGTCTGAAATCGACGAAGTGTCATTGGCCAACACTGACACTTTCGAAAATAGTCAGGTGAATCAACATAGATCATTTTATTTATTACGATTAGTTTTGGATCATTTTAAGTAGCAGCTTGGGGTTTGTATCGTTCAACATATCAATTTCTTTCAAATGGAAAAATATGCAAGGAAAAGCGAAATAGTTTAATGTTATTTTTACCCACATGATGAATACCTGCGAGCACGAAGTTTCCGATGACAAAGTTTTAAACACAACAAAAAAAATGAGTATCACAAACACCGTAACATGAAAGCTTTTCTTTACGAGGCCACGTGAAATATTTTAAAAAACTACCCTACTTTTTTTAGAATTTTAGTATTTCTTTTAGTTTTCGTTTATGGTTTTTTTAGTTATTTCATTTCTCATTTTAGTATTTAATTTGTGTTATTACTTATTATAGTGTGGCTTTTAATTATGTTATTGTAATGTGTTTTTTTAATTAAATGTTATTTTTAATTATGTTTAATATTTTTTTGGTTTTAAATTAGTATAAGTTTATTTTATTATTAAAATTTTTTTAAAAATGTTATGTTTTATTTTATTTTGAATTTTCTAAATAAATTATATTAAAAATAATTATGTGATAAGTGAGTTGAGTAGGCTGGAAAAAATAATATTTTCATGTTTTGTGGGTTAGAAAAGATGGAAAAAAGATGAGATAGAAAAAGTGATGTGACCAGTTGGTTGGGAGGAACCACTCCTCCCACCCTTATAGTGATTTGGATCTAGAGAGAAAAATCATAAGAAAAAAAATATCTAGATAGATAATTGTGTTTGATCTTGCAACTATGTGTTGTTTCTTTCAATTCCGACTAATCGGATTTAGGCGAAGAAATATATACTACCTAATATAGAGTGACGATCATCGAGATATCCCGTCCAATCAACATTCAAATAGGCATATTTAGATGTTTGATGAGAATCGTTGAAAACATAAGGCCATGAGAAAGTGTTCCTTATAGATAATGCAAAATATATTTTACTGCAATCCAAGGTCTATTAGTCGAGTGTTGAACAAAATTGTTCACCGCATATGCTATCTTGAATCTCGTAATAACTAGGTATGAATGAGTACCTACAATATTATGATATGTAGCAGCACGACGGATCAATTATAATCATAAATGATTATGTAGTGTCGTCTGTTCCTTTCACCTCAGCCACCTTCCCCACCACCACAACCGCCACCACCACCACCACTACCACCATGTACCTCTACCACTAGCCGACCCCACCACTGCCACCTCTGTCACTTATACCACCGCCACATCTGCCACTACCACCTCTTCTGCCACCATTCGTTATAATCATATATGATTACTCAATCTGTGAACAGACATATATGTATAATTATTTATGATTAGACATATATGTTTAATCATATATGATTATACCTCTCTGGCATATAATCATTTATGATTAGACATACTCTGATGTTGCCGGTACGCTGGAGCGTTAGAGCGACAAATGAGAAATATATGGTTGATATTGAATCTCAAGATCTCTATTTTTATTAATATCAAGTGAAATGTCTCATATATATATATATATATATATATATATATATATATATATATATATATATATATAGAGAGAGAGAGAGAGAGGCTTAGGTTATTATATTCAAAGTAATTATTGTGTTATTGTATGCATAAATGTGGGCCAATCATTTTACTTATTTTAAGAAAGTGATTAATACATATTATTGAATTAAATATAATTGATAAATACCATCAAATTTAACTAGAAGGGTATTTTAGTCAATTAATATAGATTTAATAAAGGAAATTTGCATATTTTAAGGGATCATAGATTCTATTAATTTTAAAAATCCGATTTTACGAATTATAATGTTTTTAATTCGGACATTCTGACAGAATATGTTTGAGTATGTTCAAAATATTCTAGAACCATAAAATAATAAAAATATTCTTGAACATATTTCTTAATCATGACTTTAAAAATTTCTTGTAGAATAACAAATTCTCGAACCAGCAATTGAAGAATTAAAACAAAAATTACATTATTTCTTATAGAATACATGTAACAATTGTTAAGAATTACATTTATTGTTAAAGAATAAAACTAAAAACTTTCAAATCGGGAAAAAACATCAAAATCTAACAAAGACACTAATACATTCTAAAAGAATAATGTTGCTAAGAGGCGTCGTTCAAATTTCGTGGTCCGTTCTTCAAGCATCAGCTTCTGTGGAAACAAATCCAATGAATAAATTAGTAAGAAAATATTCATATTTCATTCCAACATAATTGAAATTCGTGATTCCATTCTGATAGAATTGGAATTTATTTACCAATAATTATATTAATTCGGGGCATTCTAACAGAATATGTTCATGATTATCATAAAAAAATATTCTTTTCTGATAGAATACTATAAACGAAGAAATATCATTCAGTTGAAGCATTTTAGCGATCGCTTGGTGTGCATCAAAACAACTTTCAATTTCCTGTAAAAATTAAACAATCAGAACAAATTCTCAATTCACCAAAAATATTACACCTTGAAAGAATTAGACAATAAACCTAAACACATCCAAAATTTCTTTGATTTCTGTCAAACAATCAACCCAAACATCCATTATATATATTGAAATTAAATCAAATTAAAAAAAAAAACCTCATTTGAAGATTAAACTTCATTGGTTTACAGTAAATCAATCAAAATAAGAAGAAGAAGAAGAAAGAAACATGTACCCATAGACCTCCTTGTCTCTCGTTCTCACCTCACCAGAAAAAAAAAGGAAGAACTGGCAGAGCCGCCTACTGTCGCCGCTGATTTTGCTTGTCCCTGCCTAATTGATTTGTTGTAATGGAATACACAGTGGTGTAGGGCACCGATCGATAAGAGAGTCACCAGAGAAGGGCGACTGCCCCTCTCTTTCTCGTCTTTTCTTCTTCCTGTCAAACACAACAATCGAACGCCCCCTGGATCGGTGTTGTCCCGATGCTTCTTCCCTCCGCACCTCCTCGCGATTTCCCAACTACCACAGAAGCTCCGTCGACATGCCCTGTTCCTTCGTTTTCCTTACCATCAGCGTCTTCGACTGATTAGAGGGGTAGGACACCGATCGATAATTGCTTCCTTCGAACCAACTGCCGCCTCTTCATCACGTCGATTGAACCACCCACCTCTCTTCCCTTCACACACTATGTCGGAACCGGGAGAGAAGCAGCCGAGAGCTGCTTGATTGTTAAAGGTCGATGTTTTCTGTCTAGGGTTTTAAAGCGGTAAATGTAAACAATTTTGCCTAAATTAAAGGGTTTATGATTTGAATAATTAATTACCAAAATTAATTAAAAGCTAAGATTACAATTTTACCCCTATCTAGGTTTTTAAAATGATTGGTCCACATTTATGCATACAATAACACAATAATTATTTTAAACACCTGAACTTATATATATATATATATATATATATATATATATATATATATATATATATATATATATATATATTGAATAGTTTATATTTGTCTCACACCTCTAATAAGTCATTTTGGTTCAATTACTAATAACTTATAAAAAACTTCAAATAACTTATAGCTCTTTCAGACCGTTAATAAGACTTTTTTGGTCATTTTGTCAAATACTAAAAAGTTCTTATCAACCTATAGTGTTTGACACCGCATAAACTAAACATTCTTTGAAAAACTCTATTTTCGTACGACTATACGCTAATAAACTAATAAGTGGAAAAAAAAATGTTCATCGTTTTAAATAAGCACTCCCGAACACTCTCTAAACACTAATTGAGTTACGTTTCTTGAATCTTTGGTCGCTTAATCGTTAAATCTAATTATTGATTGTTAAGTTTTCCAAATATGACCATTTTACCTTTGGACTAAACTAACAAACACATTAAACAATAGAGTTGTCGCCACCGCTTTCCACAATGGCGTCAAATGGCAGCCAAGCCAAAACGAAGATTCTGGTGGAATCCGAATCCGATTTCGGAAGCGAGGAGGATAAAGGGGCAAACGATGCGACAACTTCTTCTTTGGCGACGCTAAACTAGTGTTGGGCTATGGAGAAGGTAATCTAATCAATCACAGTAGACTTGCTGCTTGTTTCAATTTACGAGTTGTTAAACTAAAGATCAAGTCTCGTAGGTTGCTCAGACCCTAGAAATCTTTGGCTTGAATCAAGCATGTCAGGTTGTTTAATGATAGTAAGAGCGTATGTACATAGCCGTCCAAGTTCAAAGAAAGACCTGGGAATCTATCCTTTCAATTTTTTATTGCTCAAATCAAGAGTATCTAGTATAGATGTGATGCATTTTGAAAATTTTTCATCAAACTGCAAGGAAAAAAACCAGCCTTAAGGATGAAAACAAAAAGAAACTTGGACTCAAATTGTCTGATCCCGATACCACATGGACAATTTATGTAATTTAGTCTAGAGATTATTTCATTCACTATTCTCTCGTCATCTACACCTGGGTTTACCAAATAAAATAATGTGTGTGGATTTGGTAGCAATGGTGATTTAGGTGGCCAGAAAAGAAAAAGCTTATAAAGATCTCAACCAAACTTAAACAATATCGATCATAAATCATAAATCATGATTTCTAATGTGCTCATTTTTTGTGGTGCAGTGACACTGGCGATACTTGTGGTGATACTACTGGCCACCGTTTCACCATTACCGCATTCAAACTCATCTTCAAAGCCATTGGTGGCATTATCTTTATACATCCAACAACCACAAACCGCCGCCATACCAAATCCGCGCACAGTGGCACCACCACCACCAGATGCCGGTGCCTTGATCTTCCATCGTGTTTTAACAGAGGGGCCAAAGAACACGTCAAGAGTCGTGGGGAAAGCCCAAGGCTTCTTCATCCCTGTCAAACAATTTGCACATTCGGGATTCAACATTATTTATCTTACTTTTGATACACATGAATATTCCGGCAGCGTTAGTATTCAGGCCAAGAATCCGGAGGATGATCAAAAGGATGAACTGAGTGTTGTTGGGGGAACAGGGTCTTTCGCTTTTGTACGTGGAATGGCTGTTTTGACAAGGAAAGATGAGCATGATACTGATCTTGTGGTGCCATATCACATTAGATTGCATTTGAAGTACCCTAATCGGTCTGAAACAATACCTGCAGGATGATTTGTAAACTAGTTTATTTATTTGTTATTTTATTTTATTATGATTTTGGGGAACTTTTATTTATAATAAGTTATAGTTATTAAATCATTTGTAATAATACAATTACCAAATCTTTTTCGAATGAACTATAAACAATATTTGAATTAATGTTCCTTTATATTCATACAACAAATATAATTAAAATTTGAAAGGGGAAAAAGTAGAAAGCAACGATTAAATTTATTCCCATGCACCATTGGTTAATCTACGTTCTACAATAATTAACCTGTTTGTTTTTTCTGTTTTTACCTTTTTCCTTAAACTTAATAGAGTTGCGACTTATGTTTCACAACAAAATTAAAAACATATTTAACATATAAGTATTGGATATACATTATGATATTCAATTTGGATAAGTATGCCTGAATCTTGAATAAAATTCGTTGTCATCAAAGAGTGTATAAATAATAAATGCATAGCAATCTACAATGGGCCCAACTATGGACTAGATAAAATGTAACACCCATAAAATTCAAGCCAATTTAAAACTTTTAAAACATTTCCAAAACCATTAATCATTACAAAACTTGTTTTCAAAATGTATCATATCAGAGTATCCCAGAAACAAAATTATAAAAAGTGAGGAGCTGTACGATCACGCCTTTGCCTTGCCACGATCCTCTGATCTACCTGAAACAATAAACTGAAACTGTAAGCCCGAAAGCTTAGTGAGTTCCCCCAAAATACACATACCCGCAACAATACACATATAATCATAAACAGCATACTATGGGTCCAGTCAACCATCAGGTTGGAATACCCCAGGCCCTCAACCATCCGGTTGGAATGCCAACATACTATGGGTCCAGTCATCCTCGGGATGGAATACCCCAGGACCACAACCAACAAGTTGGAATGCCCACATACTATGAGTCCAGTCATCATCGGGATGGAATACTCACAGCCCACAACCAACAGGTTGGAATGCCCAGGTCTATTGGCTTTCGCACAAAGCAGATAAGCCTCAACCGCCAAACAAACATGTGCACATATAACAAACAATCACATAACAGTCTATAGACAATACTTGATCTAATGGATCATACCACATAACACATAATACCATCCTCTCTACCAGGATGTCGATCTAACAGGTCATACCGCATATCATACAATATTATCCTACCCTCTAGGATACCGATCCAACAGATCATACTAGCATATCATAACCATATAACAATCCAAAGGGCCGGCCTTGGTGCCTTAGACCCTTGAGTATAGTGAGGATAACTCACCTCACAATTTCGCACTGAAAATGATAGGCTCAAACTCTCGAATCACCAACACGAACTCCACCACCTATAGTTACCATAAAACCATTTTTCATAAATTTCTAAATTACCAAAAATACCCCAGAGGTCAACTGGTCAACCCTTGGTCAAAGTTCACGTCCACAGTCAAAGTCAACAGTCCATGTTGACCCAACTCGTCGAGTGCAGTTCACCGACTCGTCGAGTTCTTCCTGAACTCGAGAAGTCGTGAAATCCTAGGTTGACTCGTCGAGTTCCCTTATAACTCGTCGAGTTCATACGTGTCCAGAGGTTGAGAGAAACCCTAGCCGACTCACCAAGTTTTCGACTGACTCGCCGAGTTCAAGGCAATCTTCAACGGACTCGCCGAGTTGTTTATCCAACTCGTCGAGTACATGACCATCTTCATGTGGCTCGCCGAGTTGACTATGCAACTCGCCGAGTCCCTTCAGACCTTCACCCATACAGACACTTTTTAAGCCATGCAGCGGCTCCATATTGCAGATCCAAGCTTCTAAGGCATGTTTATCACGTAAAGTTGCAAACTTTACGTGCATACATGGCTCTAAAGGGTCTTAATGACAAATCCAAGCTTATAATGGAGTTTTACACTCATAGAAGGCTTCATACATGACCAAGCTCGAAACTTTATGAACCTAGAACCCAAAAAGGGTCCAGATCTGAAGTTGCAACTTCAGATCTAGCTCATACACCACAATATCATCATAACCAAGCCAAAATAACCCTAAACCTCACCCAAGCGAGATCTAGAAAGAAATGAGGTAAAGGTGACGACTTGATACCTTCAATGATGCTAACTGAGGTAGATTTCTGATCCCCACACTTTTCCTTGCTTCTAGTCTCTTGTCCTCCAAGCTCTTCTTTTCAAAGATCCACCTTCCAAAGCTTAAACACACAATAAGGAAACACCACATGGATTAGGGTTTTTCTGGACTCTCAAGGGACTGTCAAGAGGCTGAAGGAGGCTTATGATTCTTTAAATAGGGTGCAAAACCCCAGGATTTAGGGTTTCATCTGCCAGCTCCTACTCATCGAGTCCCTTCTTGGACTCGGCGAGTAGGTCATTAAAACGTGTGGACTAACCCGCTGCTACTCGACGAGTAGGGCAACCAACTCGTCGAGTAGCCCTTGAAATCAAGAAGCTTTATATTAAATCAATACCTGAGAATCGGGGCGTTACAATTCTCCCCCACTTGAACTAGACTTCGTCCTCGAAGTCTGCCGCGGTGAACAGTTCTGGATAATGCTCCCGCATCTCTGCCTCTGGCTCCCACGTCCACTCGGACCCCCTACGATGCTCCCACTGTACCTTCACTAAAGGTATCTCCTTGTTCCTTAGAATCTTCATCTTTCTCTCCAGTATGGCCACAGGCCTCTCCACGTAATTCAGGCGCTCATCGACCTGAATATCATCCAGCGACACCACCGCCTCCTGATCCATAATGCACTTTCGCAGTTGCGAAACGTGGAAAGTGTTGTGGATCCGACTAAGCTCCTCCGGCAGCTCTAGCCTGTAAGCCACCTTACCAACCCTGGCAATGATCCTGAACGGCCCAATATATCGGGGACCCAATTTTCCCCTCTTCCTGAAGCGGATCACACCCTTCCAGGGCGAGACCTTCAGGAGAACCATATAACCGACCTGAAATTCTAGCTCAGATCGGCATCTGTCGGCGTAACTCTTCTGCCGACTCTGAGCGGTCTGCAGTCGCTGCCTAATCTGTTGAATCTTCTCGGTAGTTTGCAAGACTACTTTCGTCCGTCCCATCACCCTGTGTCCGACCTCACCCCAACAAACCGGGGTGTGACATCTCCGCCCATACAACAGCTCGAAAGGCGGGGCGCCAATGCTGGAATGATAGTTGTTGTTGTAGGCGAACTCTGCAAGCGGTAGGTGAAAATCCCAGCTCCCACCGAAATCAATGACACACGCCCTCAACATATCCTCGAGGGTCTGAATGGTCCGCTCGCTCTGACCGTCAGTCTGCGGATGCAATGATGTGCTGAAGTGCAACCGCGTGCCCAGTTCCTCGTGGAACTTCTGCCAGAAACGGGAGGTAAACCTGACATCCCGATCAGAGACAATGGAAACGGGAACCCCATGGCGAGACATGATCTCGGGAACGTACATGTCGGCCAACTTCTCGGCCGACGAACTCTCCCGAATCGCCAAGGAATGGGCGCTCTTGGTCAATCGATCCACGATGACCCATATAGCATCAAATCCCTTCGCTGTCCTCGACAGCTTGGTAATGAAATCCATCGTGATATGTTCCCATTTCCACATGGGAATCTCTAGAGGCTGCAGCTTACCATGCGGCCTCTGGTGTTCGGCCTTGACCATCCTGCAGGTCAAGCACCTCTTGACATACCAAGCGATTTCTCGCTTCATACATGGCCACCAGTAACTCAAACTCAGGTCTCGATACATCTTGGTGGCCCCCGGGTGAATAGAAAAATGAGACTTATGAGCCTCCTCCATGACCGTCTGCCTGACCCCACCAGACATCGGAACCCAGACCCGACCGCATCGGGTCAATAATCCCCGACTATCCTGCACAAACCGGGTATTCTCACCCTTGATCCTCTCTAGCTTCCAATTCTCCGGGTGCATGCCCTCAACCTGGGCATCTCTGATCAAACTCACAAGCGGAGAATCCATCACTATCCTCATACATACCGCGGGGGTGGAAGACCCAGCTGATTTGCGGCTCAAAGCGTCCACAACCACATTCGCTTTACCAGGATGGTAAAGGATCTCGCAGTCGTAGTCCTTGACTACATCCAGCCACCTGCGTTGCCTCATGTTCAGGTTCGGCTGATCCATGATATGTCTCAAGCTCTTGTGATCCGTGTAAATGGTACAACGGACCCCATAAAGGTAATGTCTCCATATCTTGAGAGTGAAACCCACCGCTCCCAGCTCTAAGTCATGCGTAGGGTATCTCGTCTCATGCGGCTTCAACTGTCGTGATGCATAAGTTATCACCCGTCCCCTCTGCATGAGGACCGCTCCTAGTCCCGTGATGGACGCGTCACAGAACACCACAAAGTCCTCAACTCCCTCCGGAAGAGTCAAGACTGGAGCCTCGCATAGACGCTGTCTGAGGGTCTCAAACGCCCTCTGTTACTCAGGGCCCCACCGGAAATCCACCCCCTTCCTCGTCAGACGAGTGAGGGGTACTGCAATCTTGGAGAAATCATGTATGAATCTCCGGTAGTACCCTGCCAATCACAAAAAGCTCCTGATGTCGGAGGGAGATTTCGGAACCTCCCACTGCATAACTGCTTCGATTTTGGCCGGGTCGACCAAAATCCCCTCCTGGTTAACGAGGTGTCCCATGAACTGGACCTCTCGTAACCAAAACTCGCATTTTGAGAAGTTGGCATAAAGCCGTTCTCGCCTCAAAACTCCCAATAACTCTCACAGATGCTCCTCATGCTGTTCTCGGGTCTTGGAATACACCAAGATATCGTCTATAAACACTATGACCGAGCGATCGAGCATCGGTCTGCAGACCTAATTCATCAGGCCCATGAACATTGCTGGCGCGTTGGTGAGCCCAAACGGCATCACCACGAACTCATAATGTCCATAACGAGTTCGGAATGCGGTCTTCTCCACGTCCTCCTCTCTGACCCTGACCTGATGATACCCAGACCTCAAGTCTATCTTGGAAAACCAAGATG